ATATATATACGGGCGGTGGTGGTAACGTCACCAATTATCACCCCGGAGGACGAGTGTTCGAATACCACCAGCACCGCTTGACTTTCCCCATTTGTGTATTGTATATCAGCCCTTTGACTGGCCGCTTCCCATTTCCTGAAAAATTGTATCTTTGTGCATTCAATAAAAGGATGTAAAATGATAAGAATAAGAAGAAATATTGCACCTAATTTGATGAAATTCCTTAGTTTAATCTCCCGCTCCCTGAATTTCGGAAAATTTCTAGAATTGTCCCGAAGTTACGTGAATACATTTCAAACTACTAGAGCTCGTTCCGGGGGTTTNCGTTCCGGGGGTTTGTCGAGTTTCTTAGGTGAAACGATAGTGGTACGGTAATCAATTTGAAAGGAGTAACAAGATGGTCTAATCATTCGCCTAGGTACTATTTTCCGTCAAAAGTCACTTCATAAGGACCATGCAGTAGAAGTTTCGTATTTCAGCGTCTACTGTAGTATTCTGAGTCTTTTCGCAATCCAGTAGTCCGTGGTCTACCAACAAACATGATAAAACTCAATTATATTTATTCTGCTTCACTCTGAGTCACAGATATTCTTCGAACCTGGGGTCAGCGTATAGAGCATTGTTCGTGCGGTATATTGATTTGATTGAAATATATATCGAAATTTGTTCCAAGGATATACCTTTAGATAAATTGAATCGTTTTGCCCCTCTATTACTGGTTTCTCTTATCTCCCGTATGCAATATACACGGAAAATATCAACCAATTTTTCGTCCTGGTAATTACGGGATCGTTTGGGTCCAGATAAAATATGGAGGCTCAATTCGGGAAACGGACGATTCTCTTCACGTTTGTCGTGGTGGGCCCATCATATGCCTTACATCTTTTGTGGTCATTTTTGAACCACATGCTAAACGGCGAAAGCTATTCATATTCGGTTGTGAGAGTCTGCCTAGAAATTACTGTTTAGAAGCGCTCACTCTCTGCAAGGTGACATATCCAAGTTGGGCTCACGTGATTCAGCTCCTTCCGTTTAGTCAATTTCTGAACGACATCCAGAGGAAACTTCCATGTTCTTCATATCACTCAAATCATCAAGGTACAGGAGTGGACCTTTGTTCAAGGTTGATCAACCATTTGAAAAATATATCAGCAGTTATCACTTGCTGGACTACGGATGTGTGTGAACAATCAAAAGTATATTGCAAAATTATTTATCATTTCAAATCTGTTGAATACGAGTTCAGTGAACATGCAAAAAGCATCGTAAGACCAAATTCCTTGAAAAAACGTTTCCTGAATGGAAGAAAATTGATATGAGTAAATTAGTACAGGCGTTCTCCATTGAACCGCTGGAGATGCATCTATTCAACGATCATATGCACTTGTGTTTCCAACAGGTTCTGAAAATCAGCAGGTAAAATAAATAAAATATTCGCACACACAACATGCGGCAAATCAATGGAGATGGATTCTGGAATTATGGGTTTGCACTCGAAACAATCCATTTACAAGCTAAAACGGTTTGTGACATGGATATTTCTTGGGCATTCATGTCGTCTCGTCTCTGGTTTACCATCACCATCAGTGCAAATGTCAACAAGAAACTCAACATCTTTTGTTACCCCAAGATTACATTCGGTAGTGGCATTTACAAATACACAGTTTTTGGGATATTTCTGTGATTATTGTGAGAAGAAGCACGTCCAGTTGACATAAATTGAAGAAAAAGATGTCCGTGGATGTGTAGTTTGAAATCGAGAATATGGACTCCAAACCCACTACTTGAACGAATGCTATTAGGATTGTGCTTTTCAACCATCTTGAGCATCTACAGACAGCCTTATAGCTTTGAGAAAAATTTAAAGTAACAAAAAAAACCTAAACTGCCGATATGAGAATAACAGTTTCATCATCACCTGACCCTCGTTCCTTGAAATTCTTGGCTTGTAGTGAATAACAGAAATTTGCCGAAAAGATGTATCGGATCCCACCACCAACTCCTGCCTTGCCCCGTTCTATCTTGTACGGCTGCCCTTTGATTGACCGTCTTCCCCATCCTGAAAATTGTATTATAAATTCAATAATAGGAAGTAAGAATGAAAAATAAAAAGCTACACCTTCCACTAGGGTGTCCATAGGTTTCAAGTTACGAACTTCAGGTTCCATGTTGAATCTGCAACAAGTTACTCAGGGGAATAGCCATGATAACAGTTAGCCGACATTAGCTGAGTCACTTTATGTGAAACGTCACTTTAGTCACTTGCCATAAGCGTATGAGGATTTATTCAGCATCTGTGTTCGGTCCACACGTTCTTGTCGTATGTGAATACGACCTGTGGCTAAAGCTGCTATGGCCATTCGTAGCTTCATTCTACCGTGACACGCATGATAGACAAACAAACAGCCTAACCGACCGTGGACTGGCCGGTCAAGAATTGTTTACAGCCCTGAGTCCTGTGTATGTATACGTGCGTGTGTGCGTGTGTGTGGAGGGGGTGAAGGGATTGCTTAGTCATCCTGGTTGTCAGAGCGAGAGAGAGAGAGAGCTATCCAGCTTTGCATGGAGCAAAAGGGGGATATCATTCTAGATGAATCCGCCCCCACCGGTCAAACACAACAATCACGAGACAAACAAAGGTCACTAGACTGCAGTCATTCACTTCGGCCGCCGCGATGGGTGAATACCGCCCGGGCCAGATCTGACCGCGCTTTGCACACTAGTGTCCACCGAAGCATCAATGCGGCCGCATCGTTGGGAGCACTATACAAGAAAACGGGTGCCATCTAATAGACAAGGTTTTGAAAACAACGAACGGTCTTACAAATCCACTGGTACTTTATTACGATGAGTAACGCTTAGAAAGAAACCTTATGCTGGTTACACTAAAGGAATGCAATTATAATACTAAATGGAGTCAAAGACGTGACTGCAATGTTATTAATCATTGTGTGAGTCTTATTAGGGGNATTAGGGGAGAGGGTGTGGTTTTGCAAAATTCGCAGGTTGATGCTCCAGTGACAACTTCAGCTACTAGTTATCATCGGCAATTTGTCCGTCTAAGGCGCATTTCACACAAAACCAATCGTAATTCTTAAATATAATTCACTGCAGGTATTTCACTTCAATCAAAGATCAAAGATTTATTATGGGAATAACTTACAAGCTCATGCTTTTTTCGTCCCATAGGTTCGTGTGTTAGTTAAAAACCAGTGATACATACAATTCCTTGTATAAAATTTTACGTGATACGTGCTTCTTCCACTGTTGCACGCAGCTTCACTTATATTGGAATGTACGGTGTGCTAATGTTTCCTCGAGTCTCATTTTGAAAGATTCAATGCTTTGAGCACAGACGACATAGAATGGAAGGGAGTTCCAGATCGAACACACTCTGACTGCAAATGACTGACGCTGGAATTCCAAGCGGCATTTGAGACTGCTAGTTTGAATAGATGTCCTCTAAGATGAACGTTAGGTGATAATTTTAGAAGCGGGCGATACGAGTGGCTTAGTTTTTGCATTATTTGGTATACCATAATCATATCTTCTTTGATGCGCCGGCAGTGATTGGAATATAAACCCAGTGAATTTAATCTATCTGTATATGAACACCGATTCAACCCCCTGACTATTTTGGTGGCCATCCTTTGTAGTCGCTCCAGTACTTTGCAATCACGTGGTAGCCATGAATTCCATGCCTGGATAGCACATTCTGTGAGTGGTCGAATGTATGTTGATAGTAAACGGGGGAATAAAGCTGACTCAAACCGGCCGAAGACCCGCTCAAGCAAGCCGACATTCTTTACAGCTGCGTTGGACACCTTGGTGTAGTTGAGTGAGCAAGTTAAGTTTTCTTGAAGGATGATACTCAGGTCCTTCTCGTTTGCGGCGTGTGGCAATTGTTCATTTCTAGGAAATTCAAAAGTCTCCCCCTGTGTTGCAGAGATAGAACCTCACAATTTGACACATTGAATTCAATATTGTTCATAAGGGACTTCAGATGAGCTGCATTCAACGTTTTGTGGAGTGCCAGTGAGCCCGCTGTTTGTGTTACTGCATTCCAAATTTTGGCGTCATCTGCAAAAGGTAATGATTTTGGCCCCCAGTGCCTTCGGTAGGTCGTTGTTTATGAATGTTAGGAAAAGTCGCGGGCCAAGCACAGATCCTTGTGGAACCCCACGGGTAAGGTCCATAGGAATGGGAAGCGAATCAGAAACAAAAACCGATACGGTTCGATGTCAGAGAAATGCTTCGATCCAACCAAGCACGAGGCCCCGAATTCCCTGATTATAGAGTTTCCGCAGTAGAATGTCGTGATTCACCCGATCGAACGGTTTTGAGAATTCTTGATCAATAACGTCTACCACGTCGCCGTTATTAACTGCTTTTGTCCATTATTCTCGTGCGATCAGCAAACTGGTAGCGCAGGATCGCTTCTGTCGGAATCCATATTAATTCGGTGACAAAACGTTGTGCTTCTCTAGGCGTTTCACCAGGGAATCTGCTAATATGGAATACATGACTTTGGACAGCACTGGAAGGAGGGTTACAGGGCGGTATTTAGCGGGATCGCTATGGCAACCGCCTTTGTAAATGGGTGGAATTACTCCCTGCTTCCACGACGGTGGGATTGCAGTGTGATCGAACATCCTCTGGAATAGGAAGGCTAGTGCCTCGGCTATTTGATTTGCCAAGCAGATAAAGGTTTGGGGGTGAATACTGTCTGCCTCTGCCGATGAATTCTTCCTCAAAGCCAATAGCTTTGCTTTCACCTATTCCGTAGTAAGTTGGTTAGTGAAGGATGTGGAATTTGATGCATCCAACAAGGGAGGTACAGTCGTTTGTTAATTCACGCAGCAGAACCTTGGACATACTAGTTCTTGAGCATTTCAGTGGCTTCCATTGCATTGGCTGTGGCTCTTCCAGAAGAACTGAGCACCGGTATTCCATATTTAACTTTTCGAGCTGAGTCAACATGTTTGTACAAAAGCTTGGAGTTTGAAGTCTTTGTGCTAGAGATTCTTGATGGTTTAGTTTATCTTCGCGCATCAACTTGGTGCAGTGGTTTTGTAGCAGTCGGTAATTGTTCCAGGTGCATGCATTTGGAAGTCGCTTGTAATTTCTCCGAGAGAGGTCCGTCAGAAATATCCTTTTCCTTGTGCTGCTTCGAATAGGTGATTTCCGGTTGCTGGGTTTGGTAACAAATTTTACCCGCGTCCCTGACGCCAGTAGTTGTTGCAGACTGTCAGTAAATTCCTGTCATACGACTAAAGGCTTGTGCTCTTCCCTATGAGATATCCATTGAATGGAAGCATCCAATCTCTGCAACTTTGCACAGTTTATGAATTTGCGAATGTTCTTTGTACTTTGACAGAAGAGTAAAAAATGTATTTGAAAAACAGTACAGCGTGGTCATTTCGTCCCAGAGGGGTCGTTACGCCGACAGATTCTATCATCAACTCTTCGTTTGACAGTACTAAATCTAGTGTGGATGGTGATTGCAAGTATGCTCTTTCGCGTGGTTGTACGGTGGTTGTGAGGCAATTATCTTTATGATTTGTTGTTCAAATAAGGGATGGGAGGTCACTGGTTTGCCGAGTTTGGGACAGTTGAAATCACCCACTAGCAGAACATGTGTAAATCGTTTTGAGAGAATGTGTAACATAGTGTTCAAAAGAGTCATATTGGCTGATTCCATGGCTGACGGAGGGCGACAGATGACCCCAACCAAACAGTCATCGTGTTTGGAGAATCTCAACCCACACCACAGGATAGCAGGAGTCAAAACTGGGGTGGGGGTGGGGTGGATTTCCTCGCAATCAAGATTTTTTTGATGATAGAGTAGAATACTACCACCACGGGTAGGACGATCACATCTGAGCAGAGGCATTTCTGGTAGGGACAATTAGGAGTCCGGAATATCAGCTGTAAGTCACGTTTCTGTAACACCAATAATATCCCACTGACCTGATATGAAACGAAAATTGAGCTCTGGAAATTTGTTGAGGAGTCCTTAAGCATTGGTGTAGCAACAGTTTAAATATTATCGGTGTAGAAATCCAAATTGGATTCGAAGTGGTATCTTGGCCGACCCCTTCGCGGTCGGCTACCATTAGTTTTTGATAGAGAAGCTCTGGAACCTTGGACCACCGGTTGTGGGACGGAATTTGGCACTTGCATTGAGTGATCCGATATATTAGTAGGGTTCTCGGGATATGAATGTGCTTGGAGCCCGGGATTTAGTAAGGGTCTCACACGTAGTTCCGGAGGCCCTCTGTTCTTTCGTTCGCACCATAACTGCAAGACGGTGTTGGCCATGTCTGAAGTGTCAAGAGTAACTTTCATTATCCTCGGACCGTTGCCATGGTAATTTGGTGAGCAGCGAAGACGACTGATTGATTTTATCAGAAGACCGGGACACCCAAGTAAATTTTGAATGAATCGCCATTCTCGTCGGTCATTCTGATGATTTTTAGATTCAGAGAACCACTGTTCCACTTTTAACGGCGCCTTCAGCACGCGATCTTTTTCTAGCTTCTTCGGAACTGTGGATTGCCCTCGGATACTCACGAGTGCTTTTCTGATTGCTGAAATACCAAGAGTACAAAAACCTGTCCGTCCAATGCAGACCTGGCTGAGGGTTATCGATAAAAACCAATCTCTTATTGGGATTTGTATTGTACACACACACAGGTGTCATACCATTTGGAGATTTATATTCAATTTTTTGCGCTTGTTCCTTTTCGGATACATGGTACCCTTCCACAAAAAATCATGAGAAAAATGCTCTTATCATCAGTGACATCAAGAAGGACCAAAGAAGGACCCTCGGCTCACGCGACTCTCTTGATTCTTATAAAGCACCACGCGGTTGATCGCTTTCCAGTTGAAAAATGTTAATCTGTCTGAATTAATGGAAAAATAAACATAAAGACCAGTCAATGCCATAGCATCCAGTGGATGAATTAGTGTATAAAATACCTCAAGCACACATTGTTTTTATTTGTTGCGACTTCTCCCAAACACTTGTTGGTGGTATCGTGTCGTTCGGCGCACGTATGTCTTATCCCAATCCTCTATTGGGCTCTTAGAACGTGCCTCTTCATCTTCTCAGAAACTCGTGTGCTTTTCACGCTCCTAGTTATTTATCTGATAGATAATTTAGGAAGTTTCACTTCACTTACTGTCCTTCTAATTTTCAAGCAATGTCATTGTGACTTTCGTGGTTAGTTTTAGGTTGATATTTTCCCCGCTCTTGGTGGAATAACTGTCAACTATACGGATTCCTCCCGTTTCCGTGAATAAAAGGTTGAACGTATCAGTTCGACTAAAGAACCTCAGAAACCACTCTCTCATATTGACTTTGCTCAATGATATTCATAAAAGTCGCTCAAGAAAATGTCCGCATTCCGATCTCTATTTTTATTTTGTATCGGTCTTCAGTCGCCTTTGACATTTAGTTCTCACTAAAATCCGTCATCTTCCGGTTTATAGAATTTTTCGTTAAATTCAAGGTTATATCCATAGTGAGCCCAATTCAATGACGAGATAAGTAACTGGAACACCAAACTTCATGATACTTCTCATAATTGGGCGTGAGAAATAGCATCGAAAAGGGGAATATGCTGAGAGGATGTGGGGTATCATTTGTGATTATTCGTAGGGATATTATCCACCATGAAAACATCTTTGTACATAGATTTATAATCCTACATCTACCTGGTCAAGGGAGCGATCAAGATCGATCTTCACTCCTAATGTGAACTTTCAATAACTCAAATCA